AAGGAGGTTCTGGTTGCTGTTGCTGATATATTGCGCTGGTCTGAGGGACAGTATGGAGATCAGGTGATAATCTTCTCTCTGACAGCAGCTGTTGGTGGAGTTCACATTCCCACGTATCAGTCTGACTGAGAGTGTGATTTTCTCGCCTTCTCGAGCTGCTCTATTCTTCACTGTCTCGGGCGCCGAGCAAACATGTCAGGACTGCTTTTACACTCAATAGAACTTTAAGGTGATGATACACCTTTTGAGCAATGTTGCCGTCAACGGGCAACAGATGAGACACGGGGTCTGTTCTGTGACGCGTGTTCGTGACTCTCCTGTTCGAACTCGTTCATCAAAATGAACGAATCTTTTTCAGAGTCAACTCGTTCATCTCGTTCGTTGAATGAACCAAATGACACGAAAAAAGATTTGTTCATTTTGATGAACGAGTTCGAACAGGAGAGTCACAGAACAGAGCAAGGCGAGCATTTGAGCTTATAAAACTTAAACTTTATTTTTTATTTTTTTAAATGAGCGATCGTTTTGCTTGATAAGACCCTTACTTATCGTCTGGAATCTTTTAAAGCCCTTTGAACAGTTTGTAGTTTGCACTGAAACTCTCATTTGGACCTTGAACCGTTTGGTTCCCATTGAAGTCCATTATATGGAGAAAAATCCTGGAATGTTTTCCTCAAAAGCCTTAATTTATTTTCGACTGAAAAAAGAAAGACATGGACATGATGTGTTTGAATGAATTTTTATCGGGGTTAGAGCTAAACGCTGCAGGACAGTGGCCCTGACCAAAGTTGACCATCTCTGGTCTAAACCTATCAGAGCATGTCTTTCCAATAATCCAGTTGTCAGCACAGACCATCATGACTGACTGTCAGCTCCGTATTGTACACAGGACTGAGCTATATCTGTTGTGAAGACAGTTCTCTGGATATAACCGAGCCATTAGCAACCTCTTTTAACCTGTCTGGCGTATAGCTATAGCGCTAAATGGACATGTCTAGAACGTGAGTCATTGGAGTTGGAGAGGGTTTTTTTAACTGACAGCTGTCTCTCTCAACATTCAAGGCCGAGCTGTGTTTGTATGTGCAACGCCATGCTGCCCTTGTTTAAAGCTGCATTCACATGACATGAGCTCCATCCACATGTCAAAATTGTGTTTACATGTGTGCAATGACATTTGAGGTCGATACGATTTTTTTAAATTGCATTTATTTGATCAAAAAATATAACAATATTGTGAAACGTGACTACAATTATTAGAATTTTAAAATGATAAAAACATTTTTATTTGAATATAGTCAAATGTAATGTATTCTGTGACGCAAAGCTGAAATTTCAGCATTACTCCAGCCTTCAGATTCACATGTGACATGATCCTTCAGAAATCACTCTAATATGATGATTTGTGTCTCAGGAAACATTTTCTATCCATGCTGAAAACATTGTGCAGCTTCATATTTTTGCGGAAACTGATTTCTTTTCCAGGATTCTTAGAAAAATTGCAATATTAAGATTGCCTTTGCATTTTCTTGCATTCCGTAAATAAAACGGTTATGTTAGGCGTTTTTTGCACAAACAAAGCACTCACGTCGTAACCTTCATGAAATTTAGGTTAAGTCACTGGACTCACGGATTACTTTTATGATGTCTTTGCAACTTTTCTGAGGCTTATGGGTTTAGAACGACATGACGGTGTGAAATCAATGAGAGAACTTTCATTTTTGGGTGAACTATCCCTTAATTACAATTGTTTAACTAATGGGCTAGCACGCATAAATTCCGCATTTGACGCAAGGATGCTCGTCCATTTCCGGTTGTGGAGATTAAATCGGAGGAAAACCTAGGAAAACGGGATTATGGCAGAGAGTCTTCAAAATTTACTGTCCCGTCTTTGAAACGAAACGTACATACGTTTAGATGTAATTGTATATAGCCTCTATAGTTATGTTTATTTAATATAATTTTTAAAGTCCCCGTGAACCGGAAGTCGCAAACGATTTTTTTATTATTATTATTATTTATTATTATTATTATTATTTTTTATCGCAAACGATTTTTCTCCAGTGCTGTGACGTATTTCCAAGTGAAACGGAATATTGAACAGAGGGCAGGGTTGTACTCTAGCGCCCCTCCTCTCCATCTCTCGCTCATAGTAAACTAACGGTTTGAGGGGAGTGGTTAAGCGTTTCCCCACCCAAATTGTGAAACCCACGTCATCAGAAAAAGAAACCGTTCCAGACCGGAAGTAACTTTTCAGATTTTGATTAAAGATTACCAAGGTAAAACATTTTTTTAAATATATTTTTACTTGCACGGATTAATTGTTCACCACAAGACTAGTAATATGCGCTAACAAAGTAAATAGGTTCAATTTTGATTTCACGGGGACTTTAAAAGAAGCATAAACACAACGAGGGGTGTCTGTTTTATCTGTTTTTTTGTGACTAACGTTCCTTTAGTATAACCATGGAGTATAAAATTCAATATTGCATTGGACTCTACGATCGGCGGAAGTTATCGAGCATACTTAAACCTTCACCGGAAATACCGCCGTGCTTTCTCCCATGCAGGTATTTATTTCCCTCAGTTATCTCAAGAGTTGCCTTGCTGGCATTGCTGCAGTAAAAGTGTCAGGTTAGTAATCTGAGGAATGAATGTGGAAAATTATTAGCTCGGGGAGTTTTTGGTTCACTGCTGTCGTCACTGAGGGGCAGTCTAGGGGTTTCGTTATGTAACAGTTATTTCACAATATTTAACACTGGACTAGATCATTATTGATTTGGGGGAATGAAAATGCTTCTCATTTGCAGGGTAATATGTAACTAGTTACAACTAAACCAGCCCTCTATAACGCCCCATTTTGATAAAAAAAAAAATGTGAGAATGCACAATGTAGGCTACTTGACTACTTGTATTATAAGTTGCGCTTCAGGATGCATCAACATGTAGAAATAGAATTTGCTTAGTTTAAGCATTTGATTTGTTAACTTTATGGGCCACTATTGTATCTAATCATTTACTTGCATAATCGTATCTCTCTCTCTCTCTCTTTATGTAATGTACTGCAGCAGGAGACACATGGCAAGACATCTGAAGGGCTCCTTACTGGTTGTGTTTCCTCTCTGACATCACAGATGTGTTACTGGGCAACTCTTACACATTCAAGCGGTCCCCCATACACTTCTACAACAGCAGGTGACACCGGCCGAGATGATCTGAGATCAGTGTTCACTTGCAGAGCTTTATATAGCCAAGTTGTCTGTGTTCTGCTATCCAGGATTAGATGTTGTTGGTAATTCACCAATTGCACAGAGACGTCTTTGATTATTCATTTAGTCATTTTCTAAGGCGTCTTACAGCTTACCTCAGAATATATAAAAGATTTAGCTAGGGCTGTGAAACGATTAATCACGATTAATCGCATCCAAAATAAAAGTTTGTGTTTATGTGAAGAGTTCAGATGCAAAAGCCTCTAAGTGCCATTTGAAATTTTCTTCTAGAATGATCATTTTTATCAAGCTTATATATTCAAGTTCAGTAATTTCACTTAAATGACAATTAATAGGTTATCTTCATTGCAATTTAAGTGCAATTACTGAACTTAAACATACAAGCTTGATAAAAATTATCATTCTAGAAGAAAATTTCAAATGGCACTTAGAGGCTTTTGCATCTGAACTCTTCATATAATTATTTTGTATATATAAAAACACACACATGCATGTATATATTTAAGAAATATTTGCATGATATATATTTATACAAAATTAATATTATACATAAATATAAATATTTGATATATTAGTAACACATTTTTTCTTAAATACATACATGCATATGTGTGTATTTATATATACAAAATAATAATTATACACACTGCACACACATATATAAACAAAAGCTTTTAATTTGGATGCGATTAATCGTTTCACAGCCCTAGATTTAGCTCAATGCCCTAGCTGAAGAAACAACTTTACAACCACTTGACAAACATCCTAGCAAAGAGTTTTGTTTGGGTAAGCAAAGCACCACTACACAAACATCAGGTTTTCAAGGATGCAAAGGTGGTGGTTAAGGGGTTAAGACTCAGGGCTGGTAACCAGAACAATGCTGGTTTGAACTCAGCAAGAAATGTGCATTTAATCCCAGGTTACTCCAGTCCTATAATCACAAATTCATGAGGTGTGCTAAGAAGACCTCACATGTAAGTTGTGAACATCTATCTATATATAAAGACCTCATTAAGATACTGCTCTGTGCTTCCAGGGTGATGTTATGATGAAGGGAAGCCTTTATTGCTCATTTACAGATTCAGAGAGAGATGCCCCCTGGACATCACACGTCCCCCTTAGCACCGACACGTCTAAGATTTCTGGCACCAAAACAACGTCACGCTTCCTATTTCAGGCACAGGTGCAACATTTCAGCAGCGGGTCGAGTAACCGGGAGAGCGGGGCTCAAAGAGAGAGAGCAAAGCTACATTAGGTCCCTGAGTGAGGAACAGGACACTTCCTAATAGCATAGTAACGTAGGATAAGAGCAATGTTAATACTGTTAAACAAGGAGATAATTAAAGAGGGGCTTCAATGTTGGCATGAAGCGTCTTATACTGTAGTTTACTTTTTGAAGAAGAAAAATGTACCCCCCCGTTGTCACATACTCGGGAAACTATACTAGATTTTTACATTTCTGAACAACAAGCCCTTGGACAAGTTATAGTAGGATATTATTGGTGGTCGCAAGTTTGTTGCTATGTAATTATTAGGGTGCTCAGAGTGGTCGTTAACACATTGCTATGTGGTCGTGTACTGGCTAAAAGTCAAAAGAACCCAATCCCAAGTCCCTAATTGACTCGGGTTGATCCATAAGTTTTATCCATAAGTTTTATTGTCTTCCAGGTGAAAATCAGCTAGCCAGATCACAAGGGAATGTAATAGCACGCTGATCAGAAAATGAATATTAGTGCTAATATTAGCAAACAATGAAGTGTACAGAGTCTAAAGTTCAAGCGTTTCACTGACTCGTCAAAGCACTTGCGTTTATTATACAGAGAAAGAAAAAAAAAGAGACAAAAAGCATCACGTTTTTGTAAGGATCATATCACAACATTAAATAAACATTCCGAAGCATTTCTTCATTATAATATGGTCAAAAGATATAATTTACTTTTCACAGATGTTGAACTTAAAGGTTTTTTTTTTTACAAGGCTGGAGAATGCAGACATGTTCCCGCAGAAAGGTGCCATGCACCGCGTAGTTACAGCCCACGTCAGGCACAATCAAATAAGGCTTACAAAAAGATTATGAGCCCATTACAACCTCTGTATGTCAATATTATGAAGCACTAATGCAGCACTGAAATGGACTTGGACAGAACATCAAAACATTTGCGCACGCCTTTACAGATAATGCATAATAGATAAGGCTCAATAACTCCATGTATGCCTAAATATGTTATGCGTGTAGCATACATGCTTATATGGTTACAAAAAATGCCCTAGATGGCACCCAAAGAACTGAACCGTACACAAAGCACTCAGGAAAATATAAAAAAAAAAGTAAAATAATAAAAAATGTAATGAGAATGACAAAGAAACAAAGAGAAAAAGGCAATGAAAGGTTCCTAGGCACAGAAGTTCACCAGGTTAGAGAATTTCCACTCGAGTTTCTTTCCAAAGCAACAGTGTAGAGTTGAATGAAAACAGCATAGGCCATCCTAGCAGGCTGTAATAAGTTACTTTGAAGCTGTGGTGGTTATGTACAAAAAAGAAAAAAGGTGTTCTAAAAAAGGTCAAAGGTTCGTCTATTCCATTTGGTGAAAATGTCCTTTTATGTGTCCATTCAATGTTGCTCTATCCTGGTCACATGATCACCGTTTCTGTGTGCCGGGAATATGAATTCAAGAACTGTTTGGCTTTAAGGCCAGGGCTTGATTGGCAGGATGTGTGGGTGATTTTGCTTGAGGGGGTATGCTTTGCCCACCTGGATGGACGGCGTTGATTGGCTGGTCTAGCAGGACGGGAAAAATTGCTACTGCTTGGGGCAACAGATGACTCGTGGTTGACCTGGAGGGGAAAATATTTGAATGTAAATATCTTTGTGCATAAACGATCAATACTTGGGTGAATAATATCCTTGCATTTTATGTACCAATATGGTACAATATTGTCTTTATTGACAACCAATATTGTCTTTAATTGGGAGGTTAGAGGACACGGAAAAGAAAGTAGTGTAAAGGCCAGTTTATACTTCTGCGTCGAGGGTACGCCGTAGTGTTGTGAGCATTTATACTTCTGCGTTCAGGTCGTGGTTGCTCTGCAGTACTGCTCCGAAACGCTAGTTGGCGGCGGAGGGTTTTAATGTTCCACTGTGTTTAGATTCCTCGCGGCTAGGTTACTACAAGCAATGGCGACTGAAAGAGAGCGGATCATGTTGGAGTTGGAGCTTATTGAGGTGGAAAAACAGTTAATTTTAGTGGAATTACTAAAACTAAAGGGCATAAACGAGAGGGCAGAAGACGTCGGAGGAGATGGTACGCGTGGAAATGCGTGAGATGGTACGTGTGGAAATGCGTAGGAGTAAATGCGATGCTACCAAGCCGACCAATCACAGATCTTGCGGTCCGCGTCGTCACGACGTGTAGTTAAATTTTTGAGGAGGTGTGCGACTGGTACGCGTCTGTGCGTATGCTACACAGGACCTACTGCGCGCACCCTACGCAGAAGTATAAATTGGCCTTAAGAGAGAGAGGGGAGAATGGGATCGGGAGCACTACAGCTCATTCCTGGTCCTGGAGAACCACTTTCCTGCAGAGTTTAGTTTCGACTTCATTTAACATGACCGAAGTAACTGATCGATATGTTTGGGTCTACCTGAATTTTAAAATAACTGAAACCTCCCAATTGTGTTAAAGCAGAGTTGGAGCTGAACTTAAAACAAATAGGCTTTCCAGACCCAGGAATGAGGAACACTGGCCGAGAGTATGTGCACTACCATTGCACCATCGCTCGGGCAAGGATGAATATTGCATTGTAATTTAGTGTGTGTGTGCAGATCACATTTGAATACCCTCTTCACCTGCTTGGTGTCCAGTTGCTGGGTGAATGTGGCCCTCTGACTTCTGTTGTTCTCTATTTCCATCATTTCTAGAAGTTGCTCCAAGTTGTCATTTCCCTGTCTTGTCTTATCAACACCAAGCCCTGTGTGTGTCTTACTGAAGTTTTGAGTTCCTGCTGCCAGAATCCTTTCCACCATCTGGTAGTCAGACAATAGGTCCTCACCCTGGAAGCCGGCTTTGTGGGCTTTTGGCCCTGGAGGCGCCTTGTGATACTTCGATTTAAGGTGAGACTGTGATGGGCTTAAGTTATATGCCAAACCATACTGTTCAAGAGTACTACCACCCCTCCCACTAGAAGGACCAGCTGCCCAAGGCTCCTGGCTGGACTCCAGTTCTGTTACCAGTACGTCACAGTTTGCAAGGCATTTCTTGACGGGCGCACGTGTGGATGCCCGCTTGGCGTCAATCTTGCTCTGGCAAATAGGAGTGCTCGAGTGCCTTGGGGTTTCAGTGGAGACAACGGTGGTCACAAGACCGTCCTCTATCAGGGTTTTTCCCTCGTTCTCCTGCAACATGGCACCAAACTTACGCAACACTGATGGGCTGCCAGATTTCCTGTCAAGCAAGAGGCACTTCCTGTCAGATTGTTGTGATGACTCATGGTAAGTGGAACGAGGGCTTACGGGAGAAGCATCTCTCTGTCTGATTGCCAGTTTGGAAGCTGAATTTTTAGGGGGAAGCTCGTTTGACGAAACTGGGTCTTTCCAGCTAACATGGCGGGCTTGGGGAGTCATCCCAACTTGTTGACTTCTTGTTCTTGTGGTTCTCAGCCTCCTCAAACTCATCCAGAACTACACATGAGGCAGTCCTGATGTGAAAAGACAAATCAACCAAAATCAATCAAAAGTAGTCACACTTATAACTGGTCAATCTTCCAACAAGAAAGCAAACAATTGGATTCGTTCTGATAAATTGAGATAGAAAAGGCTTTACCTGTTTGTCACCAGGCTAGTCTTCATGCTATCTTGGTAACTGTGTGTAACTGGATATACCTTAGGGTTCTGATAGCAAAAAGGGAGATATGGGATATAAGAGGGATATCAAAGGTACCAATCCATGGGGTTTAAGAGTCTAGATGAAGGATATATTGATAAATAGTGTGAGAGGTACTCACTGCATTTGGATTTCCAAGATTCCCCCAAGTTCTTTCCAAAATGCGGGCCCTGTTGGAGATATCCATTGAGGATGTCTAGGGTGGCATCTTGCCTTTCAATGTCATGACAACTGGCAGGATAATGGCTGCCGTTGCTCAGGGAATTAAGTGTGTAATTGTTGGAGCCATTACAGTAATCACTGGGGTGGTGAAACCCAAGGCTTTGCATAACTGAACGGTCTGCTCTTACTTCATCCGATTGACGAATTGGGAGGTTGTTGTTGGGGTGACCATGGGGTTCGTGATAACCATTGGCCTGGTGTCTATACTGAGAGTTGACAGGAAGCAAAGTAATGTCCAGGCTTTTGTTGTTTGTGACATTGCTTGGGCTGCTTTCGCTGGCTTCTCTTCGTGCTTTGACCTCGTTGTACAACTGAAATACGTGCCATAATATTAGAGACAAACTTTGCCTACATGGAAGCAAATGTTTCAAACACTTCTGGTATAATGTGTAGACATGCAATTCTTTGCTTTTTTCAGAAAGGGGTCAGTGGGAAAGATCTTTTGGCATTGTTTATAGTCAAATCAGAGCTTATTTATGTTTATTTACATCTTTAAATAAGGATCGGAATGAGTTTCTCTCTGGATTCTGTCACACTGACTGGTGTCGCTGCAGTTGAAAGTTTTTCTCACCTCTTCAATCTTCCTCTGCATGTCCTGAAGCTGATCTTCCCATTCCTGCATCTCGGAGTCAAAACTATCAAGCAGGTCAGCTCTCTCTCCACCCCACACACAACTCCTGGGCTCCGGCCCACAGTGCAATTCCAATGCGGCCATTCTTTTGCGCTTGTTTGTCTCTGCTCAGAATATTATGCTGCAATTCCTGAAAGGTCACTGGAGTGACCACATTGGCAAGTCCACCAATACCTCTATGAAGACAAAAAAAGACATTCATCATTGAGAAACAGCCTATTGATTATTTAGAATACTCTTAAGTAAGCAGAGTAGTTAAATAAATGAATTCTACTGTGTCAACTGTGGATTGCCTTACAGTTCAAAGGTGTTATGAGTCTAAACATTATTGAAGTCTTCCTGACTGTATTGCATTCAAGTAGACCTATGAAAGGAAACAAAATCCCAGCTATTTGCTCTGGACACCTGCTTTAAAACTTTGACTCATTTCTATATGCATTCCCTGTCCTTCAAACCAGCCCTTAACTGTCAAAATTGTCAGCACGTTATTTACACACCAACTTCATTAGACATGCTCAAGTTACCTAAAGGGACTTCAAGGATTCTGAAGTCAGTTTTATAACATGGAAAGTCTCTCTGGGGTAACCTGATCTCTCTTGATCAAAGGCAAAATAGTGAAGGGTAATTGGTTGCCCCTTGCAAAATAGGAACCTACACCTTACAGCCAGCTTAAATCTTTAATTATGAAGCAACACCACTTCTCTCGAGTCGGGATAGGGATGAGGTCAAAGTTCCAAGCAGAGCAGAACCCTTTGCCCGCTCGGATGAGCTCAGAATAGTTGCATCCTTTCCGTGGTAACGTCACTGAGTTTTTCTGTAACACAGCTTTGATTTACGGCGGTGGACTTTTCTACCATCAAAAGAAACATGACACCCAGTTTAACTCCTGAAATTGCCAGAAATGTAC